TGTGAAAGAGTCAATAAGATTGCATTGTTCTTCTTTTAGTATTGAAAGATGAGGTAAACTGCCAGAAAAAAGTATACAGACTTTCTAGAGTTCCAAAAAACAACCGAGTTTGAATATTGGAGCTTAATGCATCCATCAGAATTAAATTAAAATTATGTGCACAGCAGTGCGTAAAGAGTGCATTTGGAGCAATTTCCCGTATCCTAGTTTGGAGACCTGATATTTCACCCGACATGGTGCTTGCTCCATTGTAAGACTGACCGTAACACATAGTTATTGACAGCCCCAAATTTTTGATTGCTGAAAGAAGAATGTTGAAAAAATCTTCAGTACTTGCTCCAGGTAATTCGCTGAATTGTATAAATCGTTCCACTGCAACACCATTTACTGTTACATATCGTAAGGATAAAGAAAATTGATCAGTTCTGCTGATATCAATAGTAGAGTCAACAATTACGGCAAAGTACTTAGCTACTTTGATTTCAGCTAGTATCTTTGATAGAAGCTCGGCTGATAAGGACTGTATGTCAGGACTGAGTTATGTTGCATTTCGATCACGCAGTAATAAATGTTGTTCCAGTAATGTATCATTTTTAGCCAACAGTTTAATAAGGTCCAAAAAATTGCCTTCATTTGTACTTGGGGAACCTAAACCTCGATACTCGCGATGACCGCGGAATGCCAATCCCTGAATTCCCAAAAAGAGAACTGCATCTATAATACGTCGTAAAATCATCCTATTTTTTTCTATCTCTTTCCTTTCCACCGTTAGAAGACCAGCCAAGACTGTTCTATTGTTGAACAAATGGAATTTGGTAAGGAAAAGTTCTTTCTCTGCTTTTTTGTGACTTTCACTTTTTTCATGTTTTTCAATTTTGTGCATACCTTTAGCTTTAGCAAATTTCTTGCAACCAGTTTTTGGATCACTCCAACCATCCGACCGATTTGCAAAAAGCCAACAAGCAAAACAAATCATAGTGTTTGCTCTTGGTGAGTAAACCAGCCAGTGCCGGTCGATTGTACGAACACTTTTCACTTGTTTTTGTTTGTACCAAGTTGCACTGAAATGATGTCCAGCTTTATCTTTTGGAAAATTGTCAAAATTATCTTTACGTCCTGGCTGACAAGGGCCTAACTCAAGCAGAGCACGTACTAGATCAGGTGTTACAGGTGTGTCACAAAACAAGTGTGGATCTGTTGGGTATTCCCTATGTGTGTCAACGATAGCACGGAGTCTTACTGTGTCATTCTTGTCCTCTGCATGATAGTCTGCTGAAGTAATCAGGTCTTCTGAGGACTCCACTTCCACTACCTGTGCAGCCGCAGCAGCCCGGATGCTGTAACCAGCTCCTAGGTTGAAGTTAGGTACTAGCAAGTCTTCAGAGGGTTTTACCTCTGGTGAAGCCGCAACGGCCGGGGCATCGTCTCCAGCTCCTGGGCTGAAGGTAGGTAGCAAGTCTTCAGAATGTTCCACCTCTGGTGCAAAAGACGTCGTGGGCGTATCAAATGAAAAGTAGGCCTCCAACTTCACATAATTTGACGATTCTTTTACTTGATTTGCATCTTCCTTCATCTTCCTTCTGTCCCACCCGGATAGTTTCTTCTTCTTAGTGCGCTTATCCATCCCTTATCAGAAACAAATAAAATAAATATGAACAATATACAATTGTTTTTAAAATGTGAATTATTTAAAAAACTGTCCACAGGGCAGCCAGGTCAATTTCACAGCTCTATGAATTTGACGCCCGTCGAATTTGGTCAGCAAAGTGTTAAATGATTTGTTGAAAAGGTGCCACTTTATTCAAAAGTAGAGGAGAAGCGAAAACAATCTGCACACTAAGAAGTAATCAAACAGACTGAACTATTTGAAATTATCCAAAGGGTTCAGCATTTGTTTACACTGCAGGAAACAATTCTTATGAGTACGCGTGCTTGTGTGGATGCCTGGGTGAGTGAGTATACATGTCAACCGATTTAAAAAAAAGCACCGACAAAAGGGCGAAGACAAAATGTTTTTAAAAATGTCGGCCTCTTGGCTCTTGCAAGGGATTCATGTGTTACAAGACTGACTAATGCTGTAGTGGTAAGTGTTACAAGTATACAGAGGACATTTCTACCACATTTGATTATGTGATGGAAGCTACTGCCCGGTACCAGGGGCTTTCCTGCACAAAAAAAGCAAGTCCCACTGATGTGTCATTTGTTCCTGAGAAGTGAGAACAAGTCGAGATTCCTGCTAAACAGGGGGCTGGATTGGACCTGCCTACGCTGATGACATCACCAGGCAGGTTGGGTTATAAATGAATGAAGGAGAAGCCCGGAGCACTAGCTCCGCACTTGCAAGGAGGCTGCGAAGCTTGTCCAGAAGAAAATGACACCGCTCAAAAATTATTTGGAGGTACCTGTATTGGAATGCGCTCTTTCTTCGGCGTTTTTTTGTCCTGCTTAGAAACGTAAACATTTCCACAGACATCCCCAAATGCACACAGCAACACATCCAAATACACACTCAGAAGCACATACGCTTTGACACACAGAGCGTGGACACTGATGCGCTCCCCCAAACACACACACTGACACACAGTACATCTGTCACCCACACACCCTGCCATGCATAAACACCCCCAGACACGCAAACAGTTCAGTTCACTACTTTAGAAGGATAACAATTGTTGCCCAAGTTTGATGTAGAGGATGACAAATAGATTCTGAAGATCTGAAGTTTGGGGCAAGGGGAGTCCAGTGAGGATATGAGAGAGAGGGAGATCCCAGTGGCATCAGGAGAGATCTGGAGTGGGCGTCTGGTAGGGGAAGAGGGTATGGGAGAGTGGCAGTCCTGTTCTGGTAGGGCACTGTGCTGAAAGCGTTGGGTGGGGGGTCTCCAAAGAAGGACTGCTGCAGAGAGGAGGGGTCCAGGGTTTTAGAAGAGATATTGGGGAGGGGGAGGGTTCCAGGGTTGACTCTTGGGAGGGTAATCCCTGGGTAATTTCTGCGTGAGGCAAGGATCAGAAGATTCCAGAGAAGGGGAATGTCCTGGAGGTGGGATATTCTGGGTGGGTGTTGGGGGGTCTTTTGGGAGAGAGGAGATTACAGAGGTGAGGTTACAGGATTAGGAAGAGGGAGGAGATTTTGGAAGGTTTATGGGGGAGAGGGCTCCAGGGGGCAGAGATGCTGGAGGAGGGAGTTTGAGGAAGAAGTGAGTCCATCGGGAAGATTGTGGAGAGGGGTTTTCCAAGGAGGGCCGGAGGGGTGGGGGGGTCTGCATCACTCCTCCCAAGGACAGACCTTTCTGGCGTCTGACTTTACTGGCTAGCACTCAAGCCACAAGTGATGGGTCCCTTGCAGACACCTCTCTCCATAGCAATGTAATTGCTTCCCGTTAAGATCCTGACAATAAGCAGCAAGATGAGCGGGGGAAAGAGACAGACAGACAGACAGAGCCAGGGGAGGGGACAGGTCTTGCTGCAGGGAGCAGGAGGGCTCGGCACCTGGGGGCCAGGTCTGTTGGGGGACAGAGGGCGGGGGATGGATGGATGCGGTGGACAGGGAGGCTCAGCAGCGGGGGCTCAGGGGCAGTGGCCGCTGGCCCTGAAGCAGGGGCTGGGGGGCGGGAAAGGGAGAGCTCAGGGGCTGGGCGGCGGCGGGCAGAGGCAGGACCGAGGCGCTCGGGGTTAAGGCTCCAGTTGCTCTGAGGCTCTGGGCTACCTGCAGGGCCCCAGCCTCAGCTCTCCCGCCTCAGGCTGCCCGCCCCCCAGCACGCCTCCGAGCCCTGCCTGCACAGCCGGCCGGGGCTGCGTCTGGTCGGCGGGCGGGTGAGCTGGGAGCCAGGGGGTCCTCACGTCCTTCCTCCACGCCTCCCCTGCCTGCCTGGCCCCTGGGCATCCCTGGTCGCTCCCCGCCTCCAGCCACAGCTGTCCTCCCCGAGCACCCCTCACCAGGCCCCGACCCAACTCCACCCCCTCCCTGCCCCTATTGGACCCCTTCCCAAATCCCCGCCCCCTGCCCCGCCCCAACTCCACCCCCTCCCTGTCCCTATTGGACCCCTCCCCAAATCCCCGCCCTGGCCCCGCCTCTTCCCCAGCGCGCCGCGTTCCTCCTCCTCCCCCCCCCCCAGGCTTCCCTTGCAAATCAGCTGTTTTGCGGCCCAAGCGCTGGAGCCGGGGGAGAAGCAGAATGTGGCGGCGCGCTCAGGGGAGGAGGCGGAGCGGAGGTGAGCTGGGCGGGGCGGGGACCGGGGCACCCACGGAGTGGACGCCCAAGGCGCCACTTTTGGAGAATGTGCTCAGTGGGGGAGCGGCCGCTCCCCCTGCTCTCCCCCAGCTACACTCCTGTCTCTCCCCCCACATACACACAACACACTCCCTGTCACACTCCACACCCCCATTTGAAAAGCACGCTGCAGCCACTTGCACACTGGGATAGCTACCACACTGCACTGCTCTCTGTGGCATTGCAAGAGCTGCTAATGTGGCCACCCCACTGCGCTTGCAGCTGACAGCATGAACACGCAGCAGTGCTTTCCCTGCTGCTGTCTCCGAGGGCTGGTTTAATTCCTGGCATTCTACATATGCAAGGGTAGCCATAGCCTCAGACTCCAACACCGACTCAGCACTGAAGCATGGGGTCTAAAGCACTTATTTTAATCTTCATCCTATAGAGAAAAAATGATCTCAAGTCACAACCCTTCTGTGTCTGTTTCCTCATCTGTAACGTGGGGATTCCGACCTCACGGGGACATAATGATACTCAGTTCTTCAATATTTGTAAAGCACTCTGAGATCATTACATATAAGGTGTAATAAAAACGCGAAGTAGCGGTATTCCAAATGCACGACACAAAAGGAAAAAGCAAAGAATGTTCCCAATAGCCTGGTCTACATTCTCTATCTCCATAGTTATAATAGGATGTTGTAAGTTGTCTGTGCATTTCTAGAAATGTGTCTAGCCCAGAGAACCAATTTAATATTTGAGATACCCTGTTCTTTGTCCTTATTTTTTAGCTACTACTCAATGATACGGATGGAATTTCTAATTTTACTGGAATTAAAGGACTGCTTGGGCCTCCAGTGAGTATATTCTGCTTTATTAAATGCAAGGATTTGTTTCATACTTCATTGCCTCTCTTTAAGTACTTTGCAAAGCCCACTTCCCTGTTCTTTAGACACACACACTTCTAACTGACTTCTGTGGGACATGTAGAGAGACATGTTCTGAGAACAGAATTGGATCCTGTGTTGGTAAATTAACTTCCCTACATTTGTGTAAAATGTATTATAAAGAAAGGAATTAGAGATGGGCCAAACTCTGACCCTGAACGACAGATGTCTACCTAACTGGAAGAGGAGAACTGGTGCAGAAAAAAATAAAAGCCCATCTTTTTGGGTTTGCATCTATTTCTAGGACCAGATATTTTGTTTGCTTGTTAGTTTGTTTTTAGGGTCCTGAAATGTTCTGATAAGATTTTGTTCCTTTCTGCCTGAGGCTAGAACCAGAAATCCTGAACTACTGCAAATGAGGCTGTTCTCATAGCATTTCTAGCTGTGACTGAAAGAGATGGAAATCTTATGAGACAACTATTGATACAAGATTTGGGGCTTGTTTTTTTCAGCCAGGAGTTTAGGAGAGTTCAGTTAAACATCTGAAATTCTGGATGCTTCCAAGCTCCAACGGTTAGATTCACCAGTGTTCTCAGGCTTCTTTGCACCACTGCTTTTATACAAAACAAAGCAGACTTGATTTAAGGTTACATTTTTGGATTTGCTCATTGCTATTCCCTGCAGGTTTCGCCCCCCCTTGATAACTAAGCATCATGTGAATAATGACTGGAAATCACTTAAGAAACGCTTACTAGTTGTCCCAAAAGCCACATTTGAGGAAGAAGGCTGTGCTGGGGTGGGGGTGGGGGTTTTTTGTGCTTGTTTTGTTTTTTGCTTTTTAATTTAAAAAAAACTGGTTTAGAGGAGAAGTCAAGACAGCACATTCAATTTCTATTGACTTTGTGGGAGCTGTATGGATGCATATGAGGGTAGAATTGGGCCCATGTGCCTTATGGATTTGAGTGGCTCACCTTTATAAATCTTATGGGCGGTGAGTATAAGAGGCTTGGAGGCTAAACCTCCCTAAATGGGGCAAGAAATGCCAGATGCTCAGAGTATCACGTTAGAACAATGTATCTGACATGAACAAACTGTATCTTTTATTATTTTCATTGTGTATGTTGATAGCTCCTGTTACCAAAGTAAATGTTTAACTCTTGTTTTGAACACAGATGGTTTTATTTAACTGAACCAAGGGGCAAACTTCTGTCCACCCTTGGAGCAGATTAAGGCTGAATCCTTTCTGAGATTCTGGAAAGTTCTGTTTCAGACTTTGTTAGCCCCTTCTCTGCAACCTGTCATTTGTGTTCTCCGAGCCTTTTTCCACTCGCCCCGGCCAGTGGCCCCTGTAATTTTGGCAGCAGCTCTTTGTGCAGTCCAGCATTTCTCACAACAGTAGATTCTAACTGCTGTGTAACTTGCATCTTCCATATTGTGCAGCAAAAATGCATTCTAGGTAGTATATATAACGCATATCATGTTATATTTCAATTATAGGTCTGGAGGAGGCATGCTGGGGATCTGGTGGGCCATACTGCATCGCTGTCAGGGTTGCAGAGAGAAGGAGAACCTTGGGCTTCCCACCCAAGAATCTCTGTGGCTACCTGTAGTGGACAGCCAGGCCTTAGACCTTTCCCTAAAAAGGAAGGAAAGCCAACAGGGGGAGTAGTAGACTGCCAAGCTCACCATGACTAAAAAGACAATACAGATGACTCTTCACACACAGCACAGCCATCCAGCTTTAAATTTGACTCCCTGGGGATGGCAAGAGGAACTGGGATGGTAACAGTACCTTACTTCCCTCAACAAATCTGTCATTTCCTCTGTGCCGAGCGCAAATCCAAATCAGGTCTCCTATTCATAGTGCAATGGGCCCTCTCTGTTCTCTGTGCCACACCACTGATCCATGAGCTGTTTGCTGCTGGCTGGCAGAGGCTGAAGAAGGAGTAAAGTACCGTGATGTCCTTAGGACGGAGGGGGCAGAGTTAAGATATTATGTGGCTGTGCTGTGAGGGAAATGTCACCTAAACTCTCTGCATTTCCTGGGTTTTCCAACATTTGAGAATTAATCTCTAATGCTCTGGAGAGAGCACAGTGTAGTGCTGCGTGTCTGCAACCTTAACACCACCTTAATGAAGTATTTTGCATGTGAATACAGTTCAAAAATAGTTAATGTTCACAAACTAGTAGATACGTAGAAACTGCATAATCCGTTTTACAAGTCTATAATATGTACTTGTGTGTTTTTTGCGTTTTACAGGGGCCAGACGGCAGGCCCGGTCTACCAGGCTTTCCTGTAAGCATTATGTTCTAAGGTTTTAAGTCAGTTTTAAGTATGGAAATGAGCTCATTAATGTTTCAGCATTTGGAATCATACAAAATTGATACAAAGCCTGACAAATTCTCAAAGTTCATAAATGTCAAATGGGAGAATGTAAGTCTGAGTAAAACTAGACAGAATGTTACAGATTACTGTAGAAATAAACACTTGTTCAATGGAAGTTAAAAGATGCATCATCCATTTTGGTACATAAATTGTATCATATTTATACCTAACATTTGACTTAATTCAATTTAGTTCCATATTTTAGATCTGTAACCAGGTCTGATAAGTGTTTACTCCCTATAGAAAAGCGCTACAGAATTTATTAAGGGATGAAATCAGTAGGGTATTAAAGAAATTACCTTCAAAGCTATAGCATTTACTAGAGAATTATATCCTTTCTATAGGTTTTTTGGCCCATCCTATAACATTCTATAGCAGGGACACAATACACTGTTTAAATTCTATAGGGTGATACAAAGAACTCTGCAAAATTATTTCTTATTAAATTCTATAGGACTTCTCCAAAATGATGTAATAACAAAGTCCTAGAACCTTAGTGTCATGCTGACTGTCTACTGTGATCAAATTGTAACTCCCTACCAATTTTATTTAGTTTATGGATTCAGATATAAGAATTTTTCAAAAGTTTCAAAAGCCATTGATGATTTCAGAGTGTAGGTTTGGGTTCAGGATCCCAGGCTCCATAGTCCATAGAAAGAATAATCTAGGCAAAAGGTAGGTCAGGGTTTTGTGGGCTGCATAGAAACGGAGACAAGGAATGGAGAAGCTTTTAAAAATTAATGTAACAAGTTGTATAAGATCCCTAATTGTTACTAGAATAATTGTGAAGACTTCAATGTCACTCTCATCCTGCTTTAGCTGTTAGTTTTGTTCTTTACTGATGCAGAAGAAACACAGAAACTGGAATTCAGCTTTTGCAGGGTTAAAAAAAAAGGTTTTCAGTGCACTTTTAAGGGAAATCTGCAACACAAAATGCAAGCCAGCCTTTCTCCACAGAACAACTGTAGGGAATAGTTTCTGTAATTAAGTGATGCAGATAGCAGTGGCCTTAGACAAGGGAAAGGAATTCCTGGGACAATTAAAACTGTAGTGATTCAAAGTTTCAGATCTCCAACTATCTGAAATTAAATTGATCAAAATGTGCTTCCTTATGCTCAACTGATATCTGAAAAGCTCTTATCCAAACCAGTCATAAAAGAGACAAACAGACTTTTGTTTTTACTCTTTCAGGGCCCAAGGGGACCAAAAGGTGTCATTGGACTGACTGGATTACAAGGACCAAAAGGACAACAGGTAATAAGGAATGAGTAGCATCCCATGTGCACTAGAGAGATGAATATGCTCAGAAATGTGTTAAACAATTTACATCTGGTGGCATTATTCTGTTGCTTTTATGGTTTTCATTTTGCTCTCCACAGGGATATTAATGAGTTGCTACTAGAGTTGCAAAAGAGATTTCAGTGGAAATCAGCAATATTAAAGAAAATACCTTGAAATTCTCTTGGGTACTAATATACAGACTCTGGTGCTGAAACTCTACATTTCATTTTGCACAATTGTCAGAATGACTCTGCATAAACATTAAACATTTTGGGTATGAGGTGACCTTTTTCTGTAAACTGAGCATCCATGCCAACGGCGTAGGAAGGAAAAAGGAATCGCAGCAAAAAGGCTATGTAAATTATAGAAGGACAAATTTTGTCCCTCCTCCATGGGTACAGAGGACCCTGCCTGTAGCAGAACCCCACTCCACAGAATGAGCAGGATTTGAGGACTCTAGTTCTGTGGGGTTTGGGATTGTGGCATTGTTGGGAGATGAATGGGGGCAGGAAGCAGGTGGTCAGGAACAACTGGGCTACTGCAGCCTTGAGGATGAGAAGAGGAAAAAGGAACGCAAAAGACCACTCTTCTGATCCTGTGCATTCTTAAGTACCTTATACAACTATTTCATTGATTTCTTGTCAGTTAATGTGATGGTGTAGATATTGTTTAATTAAAGTCTGAAATAGGTTCCCAGAGCAGGAGCAAAACTAGCACTCCTTAACTGTGAAATTACATGCCGGTGAATGAAAGATGGCATGCTGAGTTTCTGGCGTGTGTTTGACCACAGGGTCAATGATCTTCCAATGATCCTGAGCCAAGAATGGCAGCTGTTTTTAAGGCTGCTGATCTCAGGCTGCACAACTGAAGGACCCCTGGGAGTGTGGGCCATCGAAGAAATATTTGGGGAAATACTCTCTTTAGAGGTCCCTGGAATACTTTCCTCACGGCACTGAGTCCATAGTACTGAACAGGAGATGGAGTTAGTGACGCATCCAGGCCAGCCTTCTTGGGAGCCTAAGAATGAGTGACTCAAACATTTCTAAAGCTTCAGGGAAGAAGCAGTAGAATGGCAGTGCACTGAGCTGAGTATTCAGCAGTCACTGTGGTGAGCGGGGCAGTGGTTGGTGTCAAGCCAGAGGCCACATTTCTTCCCTTTGAGGTTATGGGACCAGGTTGTTCAGGATGCCTTGGCTGCAGTAGGGTGGGTGATGGCAGCTACTAGGGCCACACTGGGAACCACTTATTCCCACTGCGGAGCAGTTATTCATGTGATTAGTCCCATTGAATTCAATGGGATCCCTCCTTGGAGTAGCAGCTCACTAGTGAAACTAAGGGGTTCACAACCTGGCTCTCAGTGGCTAAAGTTTATTGGCTAGAGGTAATAGGACAGCATCATGCTCCAAATGTTTAGAAGAAAAGACCTCTGCTTTGATGACAGCCAGGGAGCTATTGATGACATAGGGGCACTAGATAAGGGAAGGCTTGTTGTATTATTTTGGTTCTCTTTCAGGGCTTTTAGGAGCAGGATATTTTTGTTTTATCGTACCATTGTTAAAAAAGAAACAACTCTCACCTCCCCCCACCACTGAAATCCACCCTAGTCACATTTTTGTAGTTGCCACCTCTCCAACCAGCCTGTCACCACTTTGAACTAACAAAAATGTAGCTGTCTGTCGGTGCAAGTAAAGCTTTGTTTAGAACTGTTGTATAAACATCACAAAATGATTATGTGAATTGTAGGGTGAAAAGGGAGAACCCGGATTTATCATATCTGCAGATGGATCTCTAAGAGAACTAACAGGAAGACAAGGGCAGAAGGTAAGCTAATACTGTTACCAAGTTCTTTTGGAACCCTTGGTGGACTTGCACTCCCTTACTAACCAGGCCAACAAGACATTAGAGTTTCTCTTCATCACTAATATAAATGTCTCTCTCACAGGGTGAACGTGGGCCAATGGGGCCACCAGGGCTTATGGTAAGATATTTGCTATTTTTTAATGTATTTGTATTTTTTGATTTTACAGAGATTACCTCAACTTAGTCAATTGGCTTTAGTTTTTCAGTACCATTAGGCAAAGATGAAGCATAATACTCACAGACAGCAATGTCTTTGAAGTATTTGTCTTTGGTATACAGTACTGCAAATTGTTCCTGTTTTGATTTAGAAGTTAACAAGTGATAGCACATATGTATCGTTTGATAATTAAAAAACAGAGGCCAAATTTTTCAAAACTTGTTCGCAAAGCTAGAAACCTAAATCCATATTCAGGCATCTAAATAAGTCTGACCTGATTTTCACAGGTGCTGAATTGTGTTCAGCTCCTTTGCCTTCAGTGGAAGCTGCAGATTGGACATGAAAATGAGGCCATTTATTTAAGTACCTAAATATAGCTTTAGATGCTTTGCTTTAGGCTCCCTAGGTTTGAAATTTTTTGACTCTGCAAGGAATGATGCTCTCAAAGATTGAAACTTCATAACTGGAAAATAGTTGAACAATAAACAGGGGGGATGAATTTGGTACAATCCGTTGCAGTGCGTTCCAGGTTTAATGATTTTAATCCCTTTACCTTGGAATGCACCAGTTTTTTTGTCAGATTTTAAAAAACTCCCTTGGCTAGAAGAGGGTAGTGGTCTTCCTGAATACCATGCATTTTGGGGCCCAATTCATCCTTGGTGTAACTCCACTGATTTCAGTGGGTTTACCTCACATATGAATCTGGCACTTCTGAATTTTAGGAAGACATCAGTTCTAAGTTCCTGACCCCAAATTATGATACAACACGACCCCTGCTTATTTCAATTCCCAGTTTTAATGAGCATTTTCTCAGTTCCTTTTACAGCTATAATAGTCTCAGTGCGGAAAATGCAATCCTGAAAATTGTGTGTAAAAGTGATGTACAGTAAATTTAAAGTACAGCAGGCCAGATTTTCAAATTTAGGCACATGTGATTGCACACGTCTAAACTATGAATGTAAATGCCCAATGGGTGTATCTACATCAGGTATTTACATGCTTACTTGTTAGTTGGGTGCCCAGCTGACTATGTTCAGGCACAAATACTCACTTTGTACATACACATCACATCTGTGAGCATGAATTATATGCATACAATTCTAAGTGCACAACTGCAAGCATCTACATTGGAAAATTTGTTCCAGCATTTAAAGTGAGTATCCCGGAGTGTCAAAGTGAGATCCTGCTGTGATTCAAAGGCAAATTACACTAGGTGAATTTGTGGTTTAACTCTAGCTGGCTAGAAAAATTGACAGAGGAGGCAGTTTGCTCTTAGCAGCTTGACAAAGGCTACAGGATCTATAGCACTAATGACATTAATGAGAGGTTGGGAGCATCTGCAAAGATGGCAGGCAGGAATAAGGTAGAGAAATCTCTGAAATATCATGCTATGCCATACCTATGATGGTGGCACAGACTGACTGGCAATGCTTTGGTTGCCTCTGGTGCATGCAGTGTGTGTTAGGTGCGCATCCTCTTGGGAACCTATGATTTGTTTGACCTCCTGCTGATGCCATTTGTTATGTGCGGAAGTTGAAGTTTCTTGTGCTGTGTCTGTTTGCATCATCAACCTTCTTTTTTTATCGTGTTCTCTGGTGACCTGCTGGGTTGATAGACTATGAAATATTATGCAGTGGTTTAAAACACTTCCTTTTAGCAGTTGGCTATCTCCTGGCTTCAGCTTTTGATATAGTATGGCCAAGGATGCCCTGTGCCAGATGGCAAATTTCAGTAAAGGGCATCTTTGACCCACAGTAATTATGGTGTTCTGGGTGCCTTGTCAGTACTTGTTGTTTTACTGAAGTCTATTTTGAGGGGCTGGTTGGATGTGTAGCATGACACTTCTGTTGGTTGCTTTGGTGCAAAGTGTATCTTGGGAGGGCTACCCTAACTTACATCAAGTATCAGGGGGTAGCCATGTTAGTCTGTATCTACAAAAACAACAAGGAGTCTGGTGGCACCTTAAAGACTAACAGATTTATTTGGGCATAAGCTTTCATGGGTAAAAACCTCACTTCTTCAGATGCATCAACTTACATCATCAACTTAAGTTCCCTTTCCCCTCCTTAAATCACTGCAGGATGAGCTGATCTTGCCTTTTGACTTAGACACACAGCCTTTTCTGACAGGACATGTCCCTTTTCTGACCTAATCTCTCCACCCCCACCGAAGAGCACACGGGATCCTTTTACACCACCACAGGGTGCTCATGTATCTCAGTGTACACATGTTGCACCACGTGAATGCCTTAAGCCTGGTCAACACTAGAATATTAGGTTGACCCAGCTAAAATCCACACCCCGAGTGACATAAGCTGACCTAAGACTCCATGTAGACAGCTTTAGGTCGACAGTGGAATTCTTCCATCCACCTAGCTACTGCCTTTCAAGGAGGCAGATTTCTTAAGCCAACAGGACAACCTGGCACTGCAGCTGTGCCACTGTAGTGTGTTAAGTGTAGACAAGCCTTTACTTACACTTGCCTAAATGGCTACACCTCATTAGATTTTGGCACATTTATGCTGTCTCAGGATTTGGTGGAGTCTTTCTATGCCTAGAATCATCCAGTTCCTCCCTCGTTCCCACTCTGTTGCTTTATACCATCCTAATGCAAATTATATTGATTGTAATAACGTCTGAAGGCAAGGCAATCAGTGTGTGAGATTAAAGCCTGAGCACATCATCACTGAAGATAGGGTGACCAGACAGCAAGTGTGAAAAATCGGGAAACGGGATGGGGGGGTAATAGGAGCCTATAAAAGAGAGAGCCCCAAATATCGGGACTGTCCCTATAAAATCGGGACATCTGGTCACCCTAACTGAAGGACTCTTTGTGATGATAGCAGAAGTATCGCCTACAAATTACGCTGCAGTAAAAAAAGGAAATGAATTATAATATAAGACCTTTAAAAACGATAAGATGACATAATTATGTCTTCTCACTAAAAACAAGGGAGTCTAGAGAGAAGCCTGACGCTCTTCTAATTCACCTCAGTAGATGTGGCAAATTATCTCTGCTTCCACAATTCACTCTGAGGGAACTCCAGAAATGCAAGGAGTTTATTTTGTGTATGTATTTAGTTATTTGTTCGTAACTATCCAGAGTTCTGGGCCCATGTGCAATTTGTATGTAAAAAAAATAGATAATAAGACCAATTTTTATGTCCAAAAATGAACCCTCCCAAATCCCCCTCAGAACAGAAAGGTCATTCTCCCCCTCTTACGAGTTCGGTACCGTTCTTTGAAGCAATAAGTGATGCAGCATGGCAAGAAAGTAAAAAAAATAAATCAAGCTTTGGCACATCAACTGGGGAAGTAAATTTCAGAGTCAATGACCCATCCCTCAAAAAGCCCATTTCCCTCCCCATTAGGGATCGGATTGTCACCTTGCAATCCATCCTGAGGATGGGCAGCACGGCTATGGAGCAGGAGCCTCAGGGAGTCATGAATCTGCCTCTGTTTCTTCATCCCTGCCTGCTCAGCTCTGCTGGCCATAGCATTGTGAGGGGAGTGTGAAGTCAAGGCTCCATCCACCCATGCAGGAAGCTGTGCAGGATCTGGCAGTGTAGGTACTCTGTGCAGGGAAGGTAAGAAGAGGCTCCAGATGCCCCTTAAACTCCGGTAGAGTTGCACAGCCAACCTCACAACTGAACTGAAGTCAAGTGGCTTTTATCTCAAGAGCATCACCTGATCTCAACTGCAGCAGAATGACTTGAGTTCTTCAGAATAAATGGGACCTTTGTGGGCCTTCAAGGTTGATCATTTATGATGTCTGGGGCATGATCAGCCGAGGGGCAGGCTCCCAAGAAGTCTGTTACAGATGTAAGAGAATTGTCCCACCTACTGCTTCCCTGCTTTTCAAGGCTCCAGATGGACAGCAAGGAGGGTGGGGAATAGCAGCACTAAGTAAGTAGTAGCATCTGCTTGGGGGCTGAGATGCCAGTACAAATTCCAGTAGCAGGTCAAGAGTGGTGGCATTCTTACAAGGCCAGCATGGCTGATAACAAAAGCAGAAAATATGCACTAAAACCAACCCTCTGCTAGAGTGAGGGTCAAGTTAGCACCTTTGATCTGCTTCCTTGCACTGGTGATGTCCCGAGGGAGTTGGCCCTCCCTTGGTAATGATAGCCTGGCCCTCCCAAGGTGGTACGGAGGATTAGGGAGAGCTGGCTCCCTGCAGGAAGCACATCAAAGCACTAACCCTACCCTCTCACTATCAGAGGATCCAATTTCCCCTCCCTACCCTGCCGTTGATGGTGGAATGCCTCTCTTCCTATAAGCCCCATGCTCACAGGCTGCTTCACTTGCTTCTTTTGCCCCCTAGCTGCTGCAAGTGGTGGTAACTTGACTTCCCCTCCCTCCCCAAGTTACTGATACTTATCATGGAGGGGCCAGAGCTGGAAACATGAAGCAAGAAATAAGGAGGGAGTTACCAACTCTAGTGATTTTATTGAGAGTCTGACAATATTTGATGGTTTACTTAAAACCCCAGCACCTGGAGACAAGGGATTATGTGAGAATCTCACCTATTTTTGCTGGTTTATATCTCTAGCCCTCATGGATGCAGGGAAAAGCTTGATCCAAGTGTTCTTTAAAGGCTCCAAAACCAGAAGGCAAAGAAAAGGAACCCATAATTTATTTATTTTTAAACCTCATGATTTAGGGGGGCCTGACCCATGAATTTTGAACATTTGAGGTGGCAATGCTGTGGTTCTTTCACATCCCTGAGATCCTGCCTGTCAGCTGCTGTCTATTCCTACCCTAGGTTTCAGCTGTGATCACTCAGGCACAATCTGACTACAAACAGGAAATGAAAGAAGAGTCTGAAATCCCCTGTAACATGTCGCAATTTTATTATTAAATAGCAGATTTGGATGCCAGTATTGATGGGCTTTTCAGATTCTTGAAGTTGTTATTATTGTACAGCAAAACTCCCCTATATTACTAATTGTAAAGTTCTCT